TGCAGTAAACAGCAAGTTTCAGTTTCAATATCAGCTTCAGCACTGCAATAGCAATAGTTAGCAATAGTTAGACTTATATACCGCTTCATAGGACTTTCAGCCCTCTCTAAGTGGTTTACAGAGTCAGCATATTGCCCCCAACAACAATCCAGGTCCTCATNTATGAGAGGGGCCAATCACCTTCTACCTGTGACTTTACTCCCAAGTTTACCCTGATTTCTGAGTTGTTCTTTTCTTCTGGCAGCTCTGCCCATGCACACACTGGGAGCAGGCTCCAGCTGTTCCTCTGCCTCACTGCTGTCTAGCTCCGTAGGCACCTGATCACTGCCAGACGGTCTCGGCCCTGTCTCTGCCTCCAACACAGCCCTTGCCCGAGCCTTCCCCAGCCTCCAGGACTGGCCCATGCTCCTCCCCAACCACCTCACTGTCCGACTCTGCTGCCAGCTCCGCCGGCCGGCCACAATACAACTGTTCATTTAGTAACCAGTACAACGGCCCTGAAAAAAGTGACTTGTGACCATTTTTCACAGTTAAGACCATTGTAGCATCCCCACAGCCACAGCATCAAAATTCGGATGCTTGGGGATTGGTTCATGTGTATGACGGTTGCAGTTTTCCTGGGTCTTGTGATCAGCTTCTGCAAACCTCTGGCAAGCAAAGTCAATGGGGAAGTCATATTCACTTAACAACCGTGTTACTAACGCAACAACTGCAATGATTCCCTTAACAACCGTTGCAAGAAAGGTTGTAAAATGGGGCAAAACTCATTTATCAAATATTTCACTTAGAAAGATAAATGCTCAATTGTGATTGTCACTCGAAGATGACCTGCATTTAATTTTTTTTAAAGTTGTTATTCTAAGCATACAATAAAGATTAATAAATTTCAGGCTTTGCTGTGGCAATTGAAAAAAAAAAAACTACCTTTGTTTCCCAACTAGCTGATGTTTCAAAGATAGGAATACAGAAAAATTAATTTGGCCTCAATCATATCCTGGGGGTGAGATACAACAATGGGGCCAAACTGTTCACTCCAATGAAGATGTAAATAACTACAGTCATGAAAAAAATTCCAGAGCTATTTCCCCCCCTCATTAATCATGTTTTAAAAACCATGTCCAATTCTGATTGCGGAAAAGAATGTGCAATATATAAAGGATGCGAAGGGAGGATAGGAAGAAAAATATGTGGACTTTCATTTTTAATTTCTAGGGAGGTGACACAGGAATGGCATTTTGGTATTGTCCTTCTGGATAAATAAGCAAGGTCAGGAAGAAGCAAGAATGACTGATGAATCCTGATTTGCAGTACTACATGTGCTGAGAACTCGCTTGAAAAACTTGTAGAAATATAATTCTTCCACCAAACTACGCTGAATTTATTTTATTTTATCCATTCCTTGCATTTATACAGCAAACTGAATGTGACCCTGGGCAGCGAACAATAAAAGAAAAACAAATCTAAAAACACTCCATAATAATAATTAAAAAATCAAGTGTCAAAGAAGATGAGAGCATCTTCACGGTTAAAAATAATTCGGCCAACTCAACAAATTATGGTGTTATTTCTCTGAGATCTCCAAGCTTCAGTGGCTCTGAGGTGCAGTGCATAAGACACTTACTCCCTGTTGAAGTCTGATTCATTTATAGCTTGTTTTATGAATTGAATTCTCTGAGAGTTTATAACTAGCGGATGGGAATACAAGTAGTTCTCGACTTATTACCACAATTAGAATATAGAATAAAATATAGAATGGCCCCAACCTCCTCACTGTCCGAATCTATTGCTAGCTCTGCTGGTTGCTGGCGGGCCACAACAGAAATAAATGCACAAAAGTTTTCTAATTCAGTGAATGACGTTTTTAAAATTAATTTTCATTAATTTATAGCACACTTCTTTTAAGAGTGGAATAAGAATCAAGTCTATTGAAAGTTTTCTCATCTCTTCTTTTAAAATTTATGATGTTTTATATCAGGGGTTCACAAACTTTTTAAACAGGGAGCCAATTCATGGTCTCTCAGACTGTTGGGGGGTGGGGGCAGACTGACTTGCTGTGTGTGGCTAGGTGATCATGTGACTGGGCGGGTATGGCTAAATGATCATGTGACTCGGTGGGTGTGACTAGGTGATCATGTGACTTGGCGGGTATGGCTGGGCGATCATGTGACTGGGTGGGTGTGACTAGGTGATCATGTGACTGGGCGGGTATGACTGGGTGATCATGTGACTGGATGGGTGTGGCTAGGTGGTCATGTGACTGGGCTGGTACGGCTGGGCGATCATGTGACTGGGTGGGTGTGGCTAGGTGGTCATGTGACTGGGTGGGCATGGCCAATTTAGCAGTCCATTAAACAATACACACAATTTGTTATGCCCCTGGTATGTGTGGAAAGCAGGTTAGTGAAGGGATGTGGGAGGGTGCCTCTCCCTCTCTCCCTCCCTTGCTCTGGAGGCTGAGGAGACTAAAAACGGGCCCATGTTTGGCCTCCTCGGCCTCTGCCACCCTAAAACAGACCCGTTTTTAACCTCCTGAGGCCTCCGCGCTTCCTGTTTTTGGTCTCCTCAGCCTCCAGAAGGTGTGGGGGGGTGATGCGTAGGTGGGACAGCCTTGTGGTCCCTCTTGGGCCGGATTAATGGCTTTGGTGAGCTATATCCAGCCTCCTGGCCGTAGTTTGAGGTCCCCTGACTCTAAGAGCATCATCTCTAAAAGCAACGCCTCTGTAAAAAAGAGATTTTATCATCTGAAGATACAGAACACAAGCTCTCCAATTTTTCAAATGAGGCTTTGAACTTTTAAAATAGCTTCAGTGTCACACAAGGACATAGATGTTATTACAACCAAATATAGTTTCTCTCAGACACAAAAGATTTATTCTAGTGATTTTTTTATTGTTCCATTTATTTTGTTGAGGCTAATTTAGCAAAAATGCATTGACTGAACGACAAAATATTTACATATTTACCCTCCTTTAACATCCAGTTCATATATATGATACAAAAGGAATCTTTTACGGCAGTGGTGGGTTCCAGATCCTGTCGCAACCAGTACAGTGCAACGGGGCCGGGCGTCCACCACATGCATGCACGCAGCACGGACATGTATACTTACCGCCCGTGACGCTCCGCAATGCTCCAGCTGCTCGGTGGAGCGTCACACAGCCGCCGTAAGTTTTGTGCTTGTGCACGGAAGCCCTGATTGCCCGGTAAGGAGGGCGGACAGGCCCTCCAGAGCACTGTACCGGAACGGTACCTAGTGCTCCCAGCAGGCACCGGTACGCTCATCCCAGGGTGTACCGGTCATATCCCATCACTGTCTTACTTAAGGAGCCGAGGTGGCGCAGTGGTTAGAGTGCTGTACTGCTAGTTCGGCAGTTCAGCTGTTCAAATCTCACCGGCTCAGGGTTGACTCAGCC